CAACAACAAAAGGAATAAGAGAAAAAAAATCACCATAAAGGAGCTCTTAGGATAATCCACAATACTGAAAGCACAAAGGACAAAATGTTGGAAGCTGATCCAATCTTAGAAAGGAATGTGACAATTCACCAAAACATTGGAAAAATGCCTGCTCTTTGTTATAGTTTATACAAAACAAACCAGGAGCACAAGCACTGTCCAAACTCTCCTTGAAAAGTTCAAAGAAATAAAACATTTTACTCCTCAATGTGAGCTGTTTAAAATTACTAACTTTTTTTTTACAATATACCATGTATAATTTACTCGAGTTTTAATGTTTTGCCAAAAGATGGAAAGACCACATATCAAAATATTTTCCATTGATGATTAAGAATAATATATCTGGATGCCTGAAGAATCGTACAAATGAGGACTAGAATGATTTATTTGAAGATATAACCTGTGGCTCTAGGGGGATAGGGGGAGTCTGGTAGCTCAGTTATGTATTCTGATGTTCTCAATAAGATGTAGGTATTCAATAACACTGTTGACCATGTATGGTTGGATAACAGCCCTGGATGGCAGTGTGGTAACATAATAGCACTGTAGACAAAATTTAGACTTGGTTGGCCTACTCTGTACTTGTCTAAGCTTCAATTTCCTAACAGATCATGTGAGGATATCCACAGTGCTTTTCTCTGTTTATGAGGTAGCTGGGAACACAGCACACAAACAGTGCTAAATAAACAATGATTTGAATTGTTTGACCAAAGGTGAATAGTACTTTGTTGGGCAACCAAAGTTTCACCATCCTTCTGCTGTAGTTGGGAATAAGGCTGCCTGCGTGCTGGTTAGGATATGAGTATGGCAAGTATCTGGAGCAAGAAACCCAGGCCTATAGAAGGTATACATGTTAGGATCTAACATCTCTCATTTGTCCTAAGCATCTTTGCCATTCTCCCCAGTGGAATATTTACGGAAAGAAGGAAAGAAACCAAACTGCTGGTCTGATCGTGGAGTCAGTCTCCTGATGATAAATGTCGTTGTATGTATAGGTTTTTTTTTTTTTTTTTTGCATTGTTTTCCAGCAAAAGTAAACAGAAACATGTTGAAGTTTTACAACCTAAGTAAAATGAAAATCCCATGATTCTTCTTCCTTCAGATAAATGCTGCTAAATGTTGTTTCAACGTAGCTGCCACTCTGCCAGGGTTTCTACAGCTTTTATCTCATAAGCATGGTTTCTCTTAGTTGGCACTTTACTTGATGGTATCTTTCTTGGCACTTACATCTTGTGGTGATTAGAATGATTACAGCAGAATCTCTTCTCCATGACCCACTGTCCTCCAGGACATCTTCCCCTTTGTTGTGACATCACAACAAAGGTCCTCCAACTTATTTTTCCTATGTCCCTAAGTTTGTTCATTGTCCTCTGTTCTGATTTTGGGCCTTTATCCTTTGGTTTTAGGAATTATTTTGGGTTAATCCATCACTTAAGCACTGTGAGCATCTCATGCATCTATCCTTCCAGCCTCTAAACTGATCTGGGTGTACATGTCCATTATCAGGCAACTAGAACCTTAAGTTCAATGTGTCTGCCATAAGTACTCCACGTGTGCTTTTCCCTTCCTTTGTATTCAGTGTCTTTGACTTCTACTAGCAGCTGTGAAGCTAAACAGATATGTGCAAAAGATTCCTTTAGACAGAATTAGAAATCAAAGAGAACTGATTCTTGATTTCTGAAAATATATTGGTATGAAAGTTAAAGATAAAAGGTACTGAGCGAGTAGTCTGGTTACCAAATGTGATGAACATCTGACATTTGAGTGAGCATGTTAACTTTCTGGAGTGGGCCCTACTGGTAGCCAGAGACATGAAGAGAACACATCCTGAAGTTAGGAACCCAAGAGGAATTGAATGCATTTCTTACTGTGATATGATGGCTACTTCATAGGTGCCCAGTAACCATAGCTATTTGCTTGTTTGCTTAACAAAAGGAGCACATAAGTATACCACACAACGGTGTTTGCTATCAGTTGATTTCATAACATACAAAGGGTTAGTTAGAGTACTTAATAGTGAAGACATAGGGTTCTATAGCTGAGCAATGAGAACAGTTTTCCTCAATTAATAAACAATTCTGTATGTCTACAGAATTGTCTCCTGTTTCCCCTATAAGCTACTTGCTCATTCTTTCAGGATTCTATATTTTTGCTATAGATACAGAGATTCAGCTTCCTAGAATCATCTTCAAAAATATTTCTGCATTGTAGACATGCATATTACTGGTAGTCAAAATTTTTTTCCAGAAATGACATTCTTCATTCTTATTACACTCTTCCCCCAATCCCCAGGTACTAACTCTAGTGGAAGTTTTCAATGTTTTACACTGTCCTTTCTTACCTCTGTTGTGGGGTGAACATTCTCAACTAAGATGAAGTAAAGTCTGAATCAGGAAGGTTTAAGCTGCAAAAACAGTACCTTAAATGGTTATTATTTTATTTCACAACTATTCCAAAAGTAAGCAGTGAGGGATAGCATATCTGCTGAAGGATGGCATCAGGGTCCAGGGACCCTTTGGAAAGGCTTTCCATGAGATTTTTATGATCTTGGTGACATTTCATTTATGCAACTCCAGACATCACAGTACATTTTATAGAGGGAAATTAGAAACTAATGACAAAAATGAAGTGTTTGGCACTGAGTTTGTCCCTTTTACAAAACTTTCATGGAATATTTTAGTATTATCTGTATCTCTGCAAAAAGCTAATTAAAATTACTTCAGTTAAAGGAGAGTCAACAGCAATAAATTGAATTTTATATTTAGTTCCCATATATCTTTGAGTCTATTGTTTGAAGAACTTGTGTAAGCATTTCCCTGTCAATACCTTAAAGTTGAAAATATACACTGTAGAACAAAAAATAAAGCTCAAAAATTTTATATCTTTATGAATCTGACTAGTCCAGTGACTCCACCCAAATTTCTCAATTGGTCAGAAGCATGCCAAGACTAACATATATGTTTTGCAATACTTGATTACTGATTAGCCTGATTTTTCTATATTTATCTGAAGGCAGTAGTACTCAGTCATTTTGATAACTCAGTTCTTAGGTTTGGTTCTTAAAATTTGAGAATTGGTGTATTTGTACAATATAATAAAGAAATGGGAATTGTGTGTGTATGTTGTTTTAAGGAGGTAAAACAACCAGAGAGATTAAGCAGACCTCTTCAAATTCTCTGTAAGAAAGGAAAAAGAACCTGTTACCTACAGGCTAACATCAGGTTCAACACATTTGAACATATAAACATATGATGAAAAAGATAAATTGTTAGGTATATTCTGAGAAGTGTGCTGAACTTGAAAACTGACATTATTTTCCCGTGTCTAGTAAAAGAAAGGTTAGTTAGAATATAAGGTCAGTCAGAACTTTGGGGCTGGTAGGGTCATATAGAATATAAAGTTATAAAGTATTGCAGAAAACTGAGTTCAAATGTCAAAGAGGTACCCTACTGCATATCTTCTATGTTTATTTGGCAATGTTGGTGATCAGGCAGGGCCTTGAACATGCTGGGCTAGTGCTTTATCACTCAGCGACTGCCCTAGCCCTGTGCGAGTTTTGTGACTTACATAAACTTTTTGTTTGTCTTTATTAGCTTTCTGATTCATGAAATTGCTTAGAGGGGGTATCTTTTATTTCACACGGATAACTAAGCCTTAAATACAAGTAACTGGCTTGGGGACAATTTGAAGCACAGAAAGATGATTCCAGCTCACACTAATTAGGATATTTAAGGCCTCTAGCCCGTATAGTGTCTAAATAAAATGTAGGAACAGTTCAGAGAATTCAAGAAGGAAAGGAAAGGAGATCTCTGCACATAGACTAAAAGTGGGGAAACTAGTATGCTTTTGGGGGAAAATGTCAATGGCCTGTTCCAGCTATTCTTTTACTCACTGTACAAACTTCAGGAATATTTTCAGAGTCAGAGCAATAACATACAACTTTCTGGTAAGTAAATGCTTCAGACAGGTTCCTTTTCAGTAACAAGTTTTACTTATCATCAGACCCAGGCAAACCCTATCACAGACATTCAGAAGAGGCACACAAACCTTCTTGTGATAATTGTTATCTTTCCCTTCCTCTTCTACTAACTAGGACTCCTGGTAGGTTATATTGAAGCTCAAAGCTAGTGGTTTTTCTCCTCTATAGGTAATTTTTTTTTAACTTCTCAACCCAGGCCTTTATCTTCTGTTGACCTAGCTGCTAAACGAGCTAGCAGCCTACAGACCCAGCTACCATTGCATCCCAGGCTGGTTGTTTCCAGATGTAGCTGTGGATGGATACAATCCTTATGAACAAATGGTGTGATCACAGCCTTCAACTTCCATCAGTGCTCCAAAGCACTAGGAAAAACTTGTGAGGCCAGGCCCTGGTGTCTCCCACCTATAATCCTAGCTACTCTGAGGACTTCAGTTCAAAGCCAGAAGGGGCAGGAAAGTCCATGACACTCTCTCTTTCTCTCTCTCTCTCTCTCTCTCTCTCTCTCTCTCTCTCTCTCTCTCTCTCTCTCGCTCTTTAATAAAGAAAACTCGTTTCCATTTCTTGGAGTTCATTTTGATAAATATCATTTTGTATGATCATATATGTACATAGCTTGAGCCCTCTTCTAAGAATATTCTCATTTGGTCTCACTGTGTGACTGTTTAGAGTCCTGTTTATCATGCCCAAGTGTATTTTTTTTTTAAATTTTCCATTCCTTCCCATCCTTCCCCAGCCCCCCCCCATCCTCCCCACTCCCCACTCCCCCCCCCCACCAAAGTTGTAAAGTTCGTTTTTGACATAATGACTTGTACATCTCATTGTTGCAATGGGTCCACCTGTTTCCCTATTTAAACGATTTGTTTTTTCCCTTCCCCTCTACAAATTATACCGACATTAAATACAGTGAAAGCAAGGATCATACTGTGGGGGAGGGGCCAAGTGTATTTTTTTGTCCTTTATCACCCATTGTGTTCACTTGCAGATTTACAGGTGTTGGGAAAATGGAGAACTGACAAGGAATAGGCTGGACTTGATCGTCAACAGGTGAGGACTGTTTATTGAGGAACCGTGAGGGGCACAGACCTTCCCACGGGTTTGGAGGGGTGCTAGAGAATCAGGACAGGAGCTGGGTTTTTATGAGGTCTGAGCAAGGAGGCAGAGGTTAATGAAAAAGCCACTAGGTCAGGGGAGGTGGGGCCTATCATTTGGGCCCACAATGGGATGTTTACAGCTGGGCTCAGGTGGCTTGCCCTGCACATCAAGCAAGTTCACACATACCTGGGATTTTGTCTGGGTCTGTATGGACCTAGGACAATACGGTGTGTGTGTGTGGGGGGGGGGGGTGTCAATCCTTCAATAGGCACATTCTAATTACTACAAATGAGGGAAACCATGGAACCTATGTTTCTTTAGGTCTGGCTTACTTCACTTATTAGAATTTTTCCAAGTCTTTCCATTTCCTTACAAATAAATGCTCTTATCTCCAATTAACCACCAGAAAACCAGAAGTGGTGTTGTGACCCAAAGTGGTAGAGCATTAGCCTTGAGTGAAAAAGTTCAAGACAGTGCCCAGACCCTGAGTTAAAAAAAAAAAAAAAGGTAAACAAAAAACTTGTGAGAAAGACTGGGGGGCTTCAGTTACTATCATCTCTTGGCAGATACGAAATCATCCTGGATACTTCAGACACATTAGTCCTAGAGGCTAATGAGCCTCTAAGACTAATTGTAGAAAACGTTGACAATTATTCTTATACTTTTATGTCTGGGCACCATGGAACTTGGTATGCTTTCAGGAGCAGAATTCCTGCATAGCAAGTCTGTTAGCTTTACTACCTGATGTTTTTCAAGTGTGGAGGGGTGGGAGAAGAGAAGCAGGTGAAACGTAGTTTGGAGTGTGGATATGTACCTTGCTTAGGTAAATTAGGTGAATTGTTGTACGCAGTTAATATTGTCAGCATTCTACCGTAGCAGGATAAGGATTTTTAACTGTATTTCTTAATCCCCCAAACGAGTAGCTGGAGATTCCTATAATAAGTCAAACAACCATTTCGCTTTTCCTGTCTGTGAAATCATCAAGTGGACGCAGCAGAGACAAGGCCTGGGAAGATTTATGTTTTTAAGGACCAGCAGACACGGAATGTGGACTTGGCCCCAGAAGGAAGTGTTTTCCTGGGATTCTGTTAGGAGCCCTCAGCGGTCTCTTCTGACTCCTCCTTCACAAGCCTGGGGCAGGTTTCCCAGCACCCCCCCCCCCCCCCCCCCGCCCTTCCCAGGGCCTGTGGGGGGTGAAAGGCATCCCTGGGCTCCAGGGCCAGACCCCGGCTTTCTACGAGCCCCGGGTGGCCCTGTAAGGCGGCCGGCGGGCGTGTCCCATTCTTAACCTCCCAGCCCGGCGAGGTCTGCACGAGTCCCCAGCTGACCGACGGCTGTACGTGACGAGGACTCCGCTTTTATCTCTCCTTTGGCAGCCACAGCCCTCGGACTCCGCCCGCGTCCCAGCGCCCGGCCAGCTCCACCAGCCCTTCTGGGCGGGGTGGATTCTAATCACCGCGGCCCAGCGCGCCGGGCGGCCGCAGGTGACGCGACGAGGCGGGGACTACAGTTCCCGGCATCCTCCGCCTCCCGCCGGCCCGGGCGCCTCGCCGCGGCGGCACTGACTCGTTCCCCCCCTTCTGCTCGCTGGTCTCCAGCCTCGGCTCCCCGGTGAGGTCCGGCCGAGGGGCGGATCTCTGCGGCCCCCCGCATCGCCCGGGGCTCCGGCGCGGGAGCATGGCTCTGCACCTGGGCCGGCTGAGCGCAGGCCGCGCCTGGCGCGCGGCGCGGGGCGGCTGCGGGGAGCTGCGCGCCTGGTCTGGGCGCTGCGCGTCCGGACGCTTCTGCCGCCCCCCTGGCACCGCCAGCCCCGGACACAGCCGCGGGCTGGGGCACGGCCCCTCCGCCAAGGGCGGGCCCTGGCTGGGGACCGGGCTGGCCGCCACCCTGGCAGGATTGACTGGGCTGGCGGCTGCCACCTTCGGGCATGTGCGGCGGGCCGAGATGGTGCCCAAGAGCTCGGGGACGCGCGGCTCCTCGCTGGGGAGGCCGGAGGCGGAGGACGGCGGCGGGGAGGACGAGCTGGCCCGCCGCTGCCGCTGCTTCATGGCCCCCCCGGTGACCGACCTGCGCGAGCTGCGGAAGAGACCCGGCGACATGAAGACCAAGATGGAACTGATGATCCTGGAGACCCAGGCTCAGGTGTGCCAGGCGCTGGCACAGGTAGACGGCGTCGCCGACTTCTCGGTGGATCGATGGGAGAGGAAGGAAGGTGAGGGTGGCCAACCGTCCCAGTGGGAGGTGGAGAGGGGGGAGAGGGGGCAGAAAAGAAGTCAGAACCCGCGGCGGGTGGAGGGGGTGCAGGAAGGTACCCACAGAGGCTCCCTTGGAAGGGAGGCAGTGTAAGAGCCTGATCCTGGGAAGATCATCCGTCCTGTGCTTGCAGTGTAGACTCAAGGTCAGGCTAGAACTGGCCATTCCAAAACATTGGCAATTCCATGATGACACTTTTATAGACATATTAAGGAGTATTTGCAACTAACAAGCTTGCAAGGCCGCAGTGGACGTTCCCCACATTTCATCATCTTCTCTAGGTGCCATTTGTTCTTTGTACTCTAGAGATAGAATGTGGGACTCGGAGCTTTCATGCTAAGTGTCAACTGGAGCTCAGTCTCCCTCTTCCAGAGCCTCGCGGGGTGTGTGTGTGTGTGTGTGTGTGTGTGTGTGTGTGTGTGTGTGTGTGTGTGTGTGTGTGTGTGTGTGTGTGTGTGTGTGTGTGTGTGTGTGTGTGTGTGTGTGTGTGTGTGTGTGTGTGTGTGTGTGTGTGTGTGTGATTGGGGCTTTGAACTTAGGGCCTCACATACTCACTTGCTTTTTTTGCTTAAGGCCTCCTTCCTCTCACCCCCGCCCTCCCAAAGCAGGTGTGGGTTCTTTTTTTTATAGTAATATTAAGGGGAGAATATTCCAGTGATTTAGGTGATAAGAATGCCATCATTATAGCAGGTATGAGGAGATTCAGTTATGCCTAATATGACATAAAACTGAGCTAATTAACCAATCTTAATGTATTAAGGTTTGGGAAATGGAGGAAGATAATTCACATTGTCTCCTCCTTTCCCATTTCTGAGAACATAAAGCCTGAGTTCAAGCTTTACTATAGGAACACACACACACACACACACACACACAGATTTCTGTGATGGCTTTTTTTTGTTGTTGTTGTTAGTCTTGGGGCTTGAACTCTGGGCCTGAGCACTGTCCCTCAGCTCTTCAGCTCAAGGCAAGCGCTCTACCACTTGAGCTACAGCGCCACTTCCTTTCCCATTTCTGTGAATAGGGGGTGGTGGCATCAGCTGTGTTCTTCAAGACGGACGTGTTTTTGAGAAGGCTGGGGTGAGCATCTCTGTCATTCATGGAAACCTTTCCGAGGAAGCAGCAAAGCAAATGAAAAGCAGAGGAAAACTTGTGAAGACTAAAGATGGTAAGTCAGATTAATGATATTTTGTAGTCCCTGAAAAACCTCTTCCTTCTCAATTTTTGCTTATAAATGTTGTTTCTGGAAAAAGCCACTTAAGTGCAGATAAGTATGTTTGCAGTTACTTTGTGGAAATTATATATATAAATAATATATGTTATTTATATATAATATATATGCTGTATATATTGTATATTTAATTAGTCATGGGGCATGGGTGCTGTCCTTGAGTTTTTGGGCTCAAAACTAATGCTCTACCACGTTGAGCCACAGCTCCACTTTGGTTTTTAGGTGGTTAATTGGAGGTAAGAGTCTCATGGCCTTTATTGCCCATGTGGGCTTCAAACTTCGATCCTCAGATCTCAGCCTCCTCAGTAGCTAGGATTACAGGCAAGAGATACCAGCATCCAACTGTAAATTACAAATTAGAAAGCAGCTTTTGAAATAGATTCTGAAATCACACAAGAGCTACTTGGCATCAAGCTAGGTGATTGAATGTACCTCACTTGGTATTTTATTAACAGGTAAAACACCATTTTGTGCTATGGGTGTGAGCTCTGTTATCCATCCCAAGAATCCTCATGCACCTACCATGCATTTCAACTACCGGTACTTTGAAATAGAAGAAGCTGATGGTAAGCATCTCAGGTGTAGTGGAATGTATTGTGCAAAATCAGAATTTCAAAACAGTTATAAAGGTATCACACCTGAACTTGATAAAAAGTAATTAGAGTCATAATGGGGCTTTCCAGGAGATGTATAAAGGCAGGTGCAATGGAAGTAAAAATGGTATTGACCCACTTTGACACCTCATATTTCCAAAGGACAGTTTAATGAATTCAAATATCAAAGTGCAAGGCATTTGGGTTGTCTTTGCAAATATAAATTCATCATGTCTGAAAGACATGGGCTTCTTATGTACAAGTCTCTGGATTTGATTCCCAGTACCAAGAAGAAAAATACCCAAATCAAAAAAATTTAGTACCTGGTCTTGACAAAAGAAGAAAAAAGATAGATCAAAGAAAACAGGTGAAACAGTATTCACACATGGTAAGTTGCTCCCTCAGAAAGTGTTTTCACCCTTGGTGGGAAACAGAAGGGCAACAGTGGTTCTTAACAGTGGAGCATCAGAAGTTCCTGGGGTGTTTTTGTTAAATTACATTCCTGGGCCAGAAATTTGCTGCTGTTTAAGCTTTTATTTGCTTGTAATGTTCAGTCAGCATTCTCTGCCTGGTCCATCTGTGTGGAGATGTGGAGTTTATCACTCATTGCCCAACATCTCGTTTTCTTGCGGTTTTTCCTCACTTTTTTTTTAATTTTTTCTGTTCTGGGAACTTGAACTCAGGTTCTGGGCCCTGTCTTTAAGCTTTTTTTTTTTTTTCCTTTTTCTATTCAAGGCTAGTGCTAAATATACTCCTTGAGCCATACTTCTAGCTTTTTTTTTTCCTGGTTGTGGGACCTGAACTCTGGACCTGGGTGCTGTCCCTCAACTCTTCAGTTCAAGGCTAGTGCTCTACCGCTTGAGCCACAATGCCACTTCCTAGTCTTGAGAAATTTCCTTCCCTGGCTGGCTTTGAATCGCCATCTTCAGAGCTCAGCCACTTGACTAGGATTACCAGGTGTAAGTCATCCGCATCTGGCTTTTCTCTCTCAGTTTTTAATTTCCTACTTCGTTTCTTTCTACTTTTATGCCATCATTCCTGCTGAACCTTTACTGGACTTAAGACCAAAATCCACTTGTATGTTCTTTTGACTCTGTTTATTTCATGCTTTGTAAATTAAGCTTCGGTTCAGTTCGCCAATGTTGTCAGTCCTGTACTGCATTTTAAGGTCACGTTAAATCCAGTGTCTTGATTTTGCAGGTAACAAGCAGTGGTGGTTTGGTGGTGGATGTGATCTCACTCCAACTTACTTGAACCACGAGGATGCGGTCCATTTTCACCGAACTCTAAAGGAGGCTTGTGACCAGCATGGTTCAGATCTCTACCCCAAATTTAAAAAATGGTAGGTAAAGGTATTTGATTTCTCATGACCCCCAGAGGAGATCCCATTCCTTTTTTGTGTCCTGAAAGTGTGTCACTAGACCCCTTCAGCTTGTGAACTCTTTCTTATTTTACTTCACCAGAAGAAAAGTAATGCCAGTTTTCAAAATAAATTATTTACCTAGATAATAATCTACTATATATGTATGCTGTATTATATGTATTATATCTTTTTTAGATCCCAACTGATTTAGAATTGTAGAATAAAAACTGAAGGTGACCCTTGTTTAAGAATCAGAGGATGTTTGGCTCAAGGCTAGCTTGCACTGGATGTCCCTGAGATGTTTTGCTTGGGGATAGCATTCTAATTGAGCCACAGATCCACGTCTGGCTTTTTGGTGGTTAAACAGAGATAAGAGTCTTACAGACTTTCCTGCCCAGGTGGGCTAGCTTCAAGATCTGATCCTCAGATCTCAGTCTCATGAGTAGCTGGGATTATAGATGTGAGCCACTCATGCCTTTGGCAAATAAAGAATTGGCTAGAGAACTCAGATGTGCATCCTAGTTGATGAAATTTTTACAAGAACTATTCCAGTGCTCTTACCTCATGGAAAGGAACAAACTTTCATGAATTATATAGTACTCAGGTTGAGTTTTGTTGTTCTTTTTACTGAAGTTATTGAAGTTCCATGTCCTTCTTTAAGGTTAAATTATCTGGTTGCTATGTAGGAAAGAGTGTAAGCATTTTTTTGTTTTTGGTCAGTCGTGGGGCTTGAATTCTGGGCTTGGGTGCTGTCCCTGCGCTCTTCAGCTCAAGGCAAGCACTCTACCACTTGAGCCACAGTGCCACTTCCGGTTTTCTAGTGGTTTATTGGAGATAAGAGTTTCATGGACTTTTCTGCCCGGGCTGGCTTTGAACCATGATCCTCAGATCTTGGCGTCCTGAGTAGCTAGGATTATAGGCGTGAGCCACCGGCGCCTGGCTGTAAGCATTTTTTACATGGATGATACCTACAGAAAATCTGACAATGTCTAGTTTTATTTTTA